CGACCTGCTGTTTAGATTTATTTTCTACTTCTCTCACATTCTGTTTGTTTTGTAATTTGAATATTTCCACGGTCCTCTAGAACAGTGATATTTCTTAAACTTATCAGTTGTCTTTTATTTTGCGTGTAGATATTTAATATCTGTCAAGGTGTAAGCCGAAATATTTGTGATTATATGTTAAATAAGTAATTTGTATATTTTAGGTTTTACATTACTCTTCTGCCTCTGTGATCCTTTCTCTCTCCCTGTGCGTTTCAGCTATTGAAAAGTGATTGCGGGATTAAATTGCCTTTTAGATTCTTCTTACGCCTGAAGGGTTTGTTGTTTTATGCATGTATCATTTATTTATTTTTACATACTTCATAGCGTATTTATGTATCTGTTATGCATATGGTTCTTAAAAATTAACCGTATAATTTATATGTACAAATGCTCCATTTTAGTATATTAAGCCTACCAAATGTTCCTTTCCTCAGATTCACCTAAAAGTGTAAAATGTATTTTTCACACTATACGTGTGCGTATTGATTTTACAATATAGAAGGTAGGTTTTAATATGCAGATAACTTATTAGTATTCTAGTTACACACACAGCCATACGTCATTTGGTGGCATTGAAGTTCACTCACGGAATAGTTTGCGGTAAATTTCAATGTTTTAGTACAGCATGTAGTTTCAATATGGCGTGTATGGTTTGTTTTGAATTTCATACAAAGCTACACGAGGATTATCTTCCCTAGCCGTCCCTAGTTTACCAGTAATAGACTAGAGGGAAGGCAGCTACTCAATACCACCAACCGCCAATTCTTGAGCTACTCTTTCACCAACGAATAGTGGGATTGACTGTCCCATTATAACCACGCCTCCACGGCTTAAAGGGTGAGTATTTCCAGGCCGGAGCATATGTATTTCATGTTCTTACTTATTATATGGATAGATCATACACTCTGGTAGAGATGACGATATAATTGTTAACTCCTTTATTAAAGTTCCTTGGAGATTTAATTTAGATTTCATTTTGATATAAAGCTCTTTCCAACTACCAAAAAGTGGCGCGGTCTTGTGGCTTTGTGCACTCGTCGTTTTTGATTGTTTTAATAAATAATATTACATTTTACTTTCTTACACTGTGTTTGATCTCTATAAGATTAACTCCATGATACATTTTGGCATTTCTATTGCTAACATAGAAATATTCATACTTGTAATGTAAATTAGTGCATATGATAATTCCACACCATAAGTAGATCACAATTTTTACATGGGAAGTTTTTCATCAGTAACATTATAAAAAAAAATATATGGGTATTTCTCAGATGCCATATGCACATTTAAATGTGAGACGTGACGAGCAAATATAATCAATTTATTATTCTACCATCAGAATATAAAATATACAAGGTGTTTAATCGGAGAGTATAAATATGTCGAACTTTGGTTTAATCATAACCCTTTACGGGTTTATACAAGTGCTCATTAGATTAGATTATAATTTATTTAAGCAGTTGTATACGTTTAAAAATGAGAGTAGGAGAGTCCTTTAACAGAGTTTGCCAATCTGTTCAAGCATTTGGCATTATTCTTATTGGTAATATTTGCTCAAAAATTCACTGATAGATTTTACCTTAATTAAAATAAAACTTTATAATTTCACGAAAAGCTACTCGAGAGCTATCTGCGCTTAGCAACCCTCATTTAGCAGTGATATCTCGAGTGAAAGCAACAAACTAACACCACTCATCGCCAAGAGTAGGATGGACGTTCATATTATAACGCCTTCATGGCTGAAAGGGCGAGCATGTTCGGTGAAGGGGATTCGAACCCACGACCATCAGATTGCAAATCTAGCGCCTCAATACCGGGTCATGCAAGACTATAACTGTAAAATATAGTAAAACGTAAGATTGAAAGTAAGCAAAATATGAAAGTTGTTGTTTATTATTAAGCACAAAGAGCTATCTGTGCTATGCCCACCACGGGTATCGAAATTCAGTTTCTAGCAGTATAAGTCCGCAGACATACCGCTGTGCCACTGGGCACTATTATTTTAGAAATAATAATAAACAAACTGTGCATGTAAGTTGCCAGTTGACATACTAGAAAATGCTAATGCTTTAGGTGCATAAAGGATTTGAATTATGTAAATCATCTCAATATAATAGTCAAAGTAACACAAAGAGAAAGCACATTGATGTTTAAGAATAAAAATCTTGAATAACTAACTATAGCTGTTCAGAATGTGCTTATATAATATAAAAAAATTATAAGTTTCAGAAAATAATATTGTGGTAAAAACAGGCTTTCTGACGAAAGAAAACAATAAGGACAAAATTATCATCAAAAGATTTCATATGATACCAAATGATTATAAAATATAAATGAGTAATTTTATAAAATATTTGACATAATAATTAACAAAAAACATTTTCTTGAGAAGTTTATTTTGAATTTCGCAGTGTAAGACTCGAGGGAAGGCAGCTAATCATCACCACCCACTGCCAACTATTCGGCTACTCTTTTACCAACAAATAGCGGGATTGACCGTCACATTATAACGCCTCCACGGCTGAAAGGGTGAGCATGTTTGGTGGGACGAGGATTCGAACCCGCGACCCTCAGATTGCGAGTTGAGCGCTCTAACCACCTGGCCATGCCGGGCCTTTTTGAGAAATGTACTTTGTTTTAAGATAAGAAGATCCACTCATATTTCATCTTGTTTATTGAATATTGTAATCTATAAGTTCACAATACACAGAACATTAAACAAAGGTTTTGCTAAGACAGATAAAAGTAAATATACAAGAAGAAATCAACGCAGATTTATCTCGAATAATATAAAGGATTCATCAGATACATACACCTTTTTAAGTGAAGATAAGTTGTTGTTAGACTTCCATCTATACTAAAGATTTATAGTAAAGTTTTACTTCCCATTGTGCAATTTCTACTTTCTCGTAACAATAACTAATAATTGGTAACTAGTCCTTTTGCAGGTTAACGCTTGAATATTTTACTACAAAAACAACAATACACGTATGCATACACACACACTCATACACATATACATATACATTTCGTGCATATTTCTAACAAGATTATCGATTAAAGTGTTCATTGATGTTGGTCGACTCATCTATTAAAAGTGCTACGTTGCATATATATACAGTAAAATTACTGTGTAACTAAGTTTATACTATCAAGTAAAATACAAAGATAAACCAATCAAAATTAACTTGAAAGTAGCTACAGTCTTCACAAACACACATAATTCCACTCAAACAAATGCCTCCAATATTCTATGACACTGTTCAAACATTTCCAAATTCCCGCTGACATGGATTACGAACCAGGGAAAAGATTATTTTAGATTAAAACTTTAGATATTATTTCGAATTTTAGTGGGATTTTCGTGAATTACATTTGTCGATAAGAAACCAAAGTAATTATATGATGGATAATCTTAATATTTGTTTGTCTATTTTCTCATTTACCTTTCGATGATCAACCTCGAATTCTAGCATATTAAACACTAAAATTTAAGTTGAACAACCAGTAGCTGTTGTTTGTTATTAAGCACAAAGCTACACAAAGGACTCTGTGTGCTCTGCCCACCACGGGTATCGAAGCCCTGTTTCTAGCGGTATAAGTTCGTGGACATACCGCTGAGCCACAATTGATTTGTTTAATATGAAAATTGATCATAAATATAAAATCGACGGTCAAACGATTATTTTGTAACAAGTTAACTCTTCTTCATTAATCCATTCGTTTCTATTTCAACAAGTAAATGAACAAAGTTTCTTCTTTGTAACAAGTTAACTCTTCTTCATTAATCCATTCGTTTCTATTTCAACAAGTAAATGAACAAAGTTTCTTCTTTGTAACAAGTTAACTCTTCTTCATTAATCCATTCGTTTCTATTTCAACAAGTAAATGAACAAAGTTTCTTCTTTGTAACAAGTTAACTCTTCCTCATTAATCCATTCGTTCCA